TTGGATAGCAGTTCCAGTTTCGGTTTGAAGCAGTGGTAGTGGAGGATTTGGTGTCTTGGTTGTGATGGGGAACACTGTGTGGCATGCGGAAGACTGAAGTTCTCCAGCTGAAGTCGAAAACTTGCTGATTAGACTTTTTCCCCTTTTGACTTGATTTCATGTATGTGTCATAGCTTGTTTTGTTTCTGTAACTGAAGTTTTGTTAGTTTCCAGACAGTGGCTTAATTTAAAAAAAAAAGAAAGTATGTGGTGTAGAGACCCGGAGCTCTTGATCTGCTCCCTGGAGTGGGACACGGGCTAGGTTTGTGACATCCTTTGGCCCTTTTGTCAGGTAGTGGCTTGGTTAGGGCCAGTGAGTGCTGTACAAATAACTGGTTTCCAGTAAGCAGCCCATGAAAGTTATCCCTGCACCCTGTGTGATTTCTAATTCAGGATTTCTGAAGATTTATGAGTAGTACATAAATGGTTGTGTGTGTGTGTGTGTGTGTGTATAAGCATTGAACCCAGAGGCACTTAACCACTGAACCACATCCCCAGCCCTTTTTAATTTTTATTTTGAGGCAGGGTTTCCCTTAGTGGCTTAGAGTCTAATTTGCTGAGGCTGGCCTTGGACTTGAGATCCGCCTGCCTCAGCCTCCAGAGCCCCCAGGATGTCAGGTGTGCATCACTGTGCCCAGCTGTAAGAGGTCTTTTAAGTTATTTGCATTTGAAAAGCTAAGGCTACTAAGTCCTGCTCTGCTTTGCTGTGAGAAGTAGTTTGTTAATACTTGAAAATATAGAATTCTTTCCTGGGTTAATATATATATATATATTATAATATTATATATAAAATACAGAACCCTCTCTGACTGTTTTTAAAAATATTTGTTAATGGAATACATTTAAACTAATACACTCGATTCAAAAACCAGGTGAACGAGGTTTGGAAGAATGAAATACCAGTCCTCAATAGAAAAAGTGTTGCTTATCTAGGTTATAATTTGTATATATATATTTGCTCCCTAGAGCTTGTCTTGATCATCCAGGAGCTGATAACGTTTTACTTTTATTACTCCTTGTCTGATCTGGCAGACCCTAAAGCACTGTACTATACCTGCCAGCTTCTCACACACCCCTTTGAGTGACTATGCTAGTGCAGGATGCATTGACATCTCCTTCATGGCATGTGCCTCTTTGGAAGAGTGAAGTTATTCTTGGGACAGAATAACAAGACAGCAAGGGATTGTGTGACAGAGTGCAGAGACAGTGTAAATAAATTTAGAGTAGAATATATAAATTCAGATATAGAGAATATTATTGCTAGTTTATGGTTCAAGCTATTCTTTCTTTATGTTAACTTCCAGTATGGTTGGTCTTTTGTGTTAAAAATAATCTTAAGTACAAGTGAATTTACAACTCTATATTTAGTTGCTTAAAGAGGTTTATTACTTTAGGTATTCATCTTTCCTTATCTTTTCTCTTAGATTATAGAATAATAGCAGGGTAAGAAATAGAAAAGTATAATAATCCTTGTCACATAACAGCAACTTTGGAATCACATTTTGTATTATATATAAATGAACATATATTTTTAAAATATTTTTTAGTTGTAGTTGGACACAATATTTATTTATTTTTATGTGGTACTGAGGATCGAACCCAGTGCCTCGTGTGTGAGGCAAGTGCTTTACTACTGAGCCACAACTCCAGCCCCAAGAACATATATTTTTATATATTTTTAGAAAAGTCTAGAGATATTTAAAACCTTGGTAATTTAGATTAAACTGGAGAGGGAGGAAGAGAACTCTGCTTATTCTACAAAACACCTGAGCATATTAGGTGAGCTATAAATGTGATGGAATTTTATTGATGTACAATTTTGCTTTTAAGGATGGCACAGAAGAAATATCTTCAAGCAAAATTGACCCAGTTTTTAAGGGAAGACAGGATTCAACTTTGGAAACCTCCATATACAGATGAAAATAAAGAAGTTGGTTTGGCATTAAAGGTATTTTTCTTTTAAGATGTAAATAATTAGCAGTGTTATAAATCTTCTTGGTAAATAAGATTCTGGAGTCACAAGAAATTGCCAGGTATGACCATATAAACTTTGGGTATCACAGAAAACAGTAGTGACAGGCAGGTCCCCACTTTTTATGAGGAGTCAACAAGCTTGTTTTTATTTACTTAGATAAATACCCATATGTGTGTGTGTATATGTGTATATATTGCAGGGCAAGGGAGAGAGAAAAGGGGGAAAGTGCTGGGGATCAACCGAGGGCCTTATGCATGCTAGGCAAGTGCTACACCACTAAGCTACATCACCAGCCCTTTTACTGGTTATTTTATTAATAACTGTGTTACCTAACTTCTCAGGCATTGTTTTAGCTTTCTGTCACTATAGCAGAGTATCTGAGGCAATTTATAAAGGCTCATACTTCTGGAGGTTTCGTCCAAGATTGAATGGTCCCATTACTTTGGGCCTCTGCAAGGGTGACACATCATGACAGGAGCTAGTGGTGGAACAAACTGTTCACTTCTGATCCAGGAAGCCAGAGAGGGTGGACAGGGTTCCCTTTCAAGGGCATACCCCCAAATCTAAGGACCTCCCATAGGCCCACCTATAAGGTTCCATCTCCAGCGATAGTGCCACACTGGGCATCAGGCCTTTAAACACATGGGCCTTTGGGGAACACCGTTCATATTCTAACCATGGGAGTGCAGGATATTTTTAATACCTTCATAACATTACATACAATTCCTCACCTGGGACCCAGTTTTGACCAGGACCAATGTCATTATGTCACTGCCTCGCGTGGTCTGCCTCTCAGTCCTCCTTGATGTCATCCTCTGCTATAAAACAATTGCTTCCCTCCCCCATTTCTTTATGGCCATCAGTGTTCATTTTTCCAAAGTACTTTTTCTAACAGTTTTTTATGGCATCATCAGAAATGGTATTATTTTACATGATGTTTCAAGAAACTGAAATTTTCTTGCCTTTCTAAGCAGAAAAACTTTACTCATTTTTGACAGAAATCTCCCATATTGGAACATCCTAGCATGATCTTCTCTGCTTTCTGAGTCTGGGTATCCTGAACATGAGGTAACATTTATCAGGGACCATAAATTGTTGTGAGGACATTAAATTGTCATGTGTAGCAACATAGTGGTGCCATCAGAAGGTGGCAGACGGCACCAGAGTTTGTTTTCTTTTCTCTCTGTCCTGACAGGTGTCACCTTTCCTTCTTTGCAGCCCATATTCTGAATTTTATAGTTTATTGGCTCAGAAATGGGTGTGACATGATAAGATATTTGATCTTTGTCCCCAGTTACTACTCTTGCGAGAGTGGTAAGGATGATAGGAACATCTTTTGTCTTAATGAAGCTTGGTGGCTCACAGCTTCTGGATAGGGCTGGTCACCAGAAAGACCAAGCTCCTTGGTTAGACCCTTGGAAATTTCAGGCCCACTCTCTAGGCTCTGGGGAGAGGAGAGTGACTAGAGAGCAAGTTAACCATGAGTGGTCCATGGTTTAATCAATCATGCCTCCATAAAAATGCTAGGTGACAGGACACCTGCTTCTAAATTGACAAATTCGTCCACGGAACCTGTGAGGCAGAGGCTCCTCTGCTCAGAACCCTTCCAGACTTCACCTTTATATCTTATCTGAGTGTTCACTTCTGAAACTTTAGAATGAACTAGAATAATGAGAGTAGCATTTTCCTGAGTCATTTCCAGCGAATTATTAAATCCGGAAGGGGGAATGTTTGGAACTTTATAGCCAAGTGGAACAGAAGTGTGGGTAACCAGAGAACTGGGTACTTGGCACCTGGGGTCTGCAGTGAGGACCTTTTGTGAGACTGAGCCATCCAACCTGTGGGTCTAAACTGAACAGCAGGACCCAGTGATATCAGAATTGGTTGGTGTCACAAGGTAAAAAAAATAAACACTCTCAGTAGTCATTAAGTTTTCTAGAAAATTACACTTTTTTTTTTTAAAGTATTTTATTTAAAAGACTCACCTTTTGGTGACTCCTGGGTTAAAAAAATAAATAAAACAACCCAAACATGTATTGATTGAGTATCCCTATCCCAAATGCTTTGGACTAGAAGTATTTCAGATTTCAGCATTACTGATTTGGGGATATTTGGCCAGACTTTACCAGTTGAGCGTCAAGAATCTGAAAATCCAATATCCACAATGTTCCAAGATCCAAAACTCTGAAACTTTCAGAGCATAATGTTACCACTCAGAAGGCTTTGGATTTTGGATTTGGGGATTAAGGGCATCTTAGCCACTATAGTACATCTGGTTGCAAGGTGCTTCCTGTCAGGTAAGTTCTGAGACGTGTGTCATTAGGTGATTTATGGGAGACGTAAGGGGCTGCTGCTGGCTTGGCATGGCAATGAAGCTTTTTAAAAATGTAAGTAGAAGGGATACATGCTAAAATAATGATAAAAGCACAGTACACTAAGTGAGCAAACCATAACAAAATCATTGATGATATTATTGAGCAGATCTACTGAATATAATGGTATGTGCTGTACTTTTACACTGCTGGCAGTGTAGTAGGTGTGTTCACACTGGCATCACTGCAGACATGTGAGTGATGCTCTATGATGTCACTAGGCAATGGGAATTTTTCAACACCACTATATCTTTTTTTTTTTTTAATACCTGGAGTTGAATCCAGTGGCTCTTAACTACTGAGGCACATCCCCAACCTTTTTTGGTATTTTATTTAGAGACAGGGTGTTACTGAGTTGCTTAGAGCCTCACTAAGTTGCTGAGGCTGGCTTTGAACTTGGGAATCCTCCTGCCTTGGCCTTTGGAGCCACTGGGATTACAGGCATATACTCCCACACCTGGTAGCTTCATTATATCTTATGGGACTACTGCCATGTTCAGTCCATCATTGACTGTAATGTAGTCACGTGGTACACGAGTATATAACTACACACAAAAAACATAAGTAAAGGGGCTAGGGATGTGGTTCAAGCGGTAGCGCACTCGCCTAGCATGTGTGAGGCACTGGGTTCGATTCTCAGCAGCACCACATAAAAAATAGAATAAAGATATTGTGTCCACCTAAAAAACTAAAAAATAAAAAAGTATTTAAAAAAACATAAGTAATGCAGTTTAAAAACACATTAATCATCATCAATATTGTTTTCTCCCAGTCTTTTCCTTTGTGACTATCAAAAATGAATTATAGATAAGTTTTTACTATTCTAAAAATAAAATATTCTGACTTTTTATAACTTTGTATATCCATGAACATCTTTCTTGTTAAATATATACTTCAACATCATTTTTAGTGCTTCATAGTATGGCATCATAACTTTAACGAAAGCATGGGCTGTAGATGCTTACAACTTTATGAGATGTTTAATGAGATATTAAGCCATTAGTGGAAAGAAACATAGTGACTTCTAAGTAATAACTAGCTCACATTCTTTTTTGAGGCTTCTTAAATCTTCTTAATTTTTCATTCTGAAATCTGAAGCTCTCCTTGGTAAATAATTTTATACCAGTACCATTGCTTGAGAATTTTCCATTAAGAAAGTTATTCAACTTGTCTTGTTCTCACAAGTTTGAAAAATTATAATGTTTTCTCTACTTTTTTTTCTTTTCCTTCCAGTGGTGTTTAACAGTTCACTGTTTCTTAAAATATTTTGTTGTTGTGCTGCTGCTGCTATTTTTGCAGTACTAGGGATTGAACCCAGGGCTTGGCACATGCTAGCCAAGCACTCTACCCCAAGCTACATCCTTATCCCAATTTCTTAAAATATTGAGGTCACAAAAGTCATGCCCCACCCTTCTTTCCCCCTTGGATAGTTCTAGTTAGTTTTAATTTTCTGTTGAGCCTGTTTTCCTGTCTCTCTGTAGAAGTTTTACTTTTTCCCTGGATCTGCTCTGAGAGCCATGACTGCATTTCAGTGGGGACCTCTGTGCATCAGAGTCCTCCATGTCTTTTCCTAGGTTTGGCCGAGTTGGAATTGCTATCATATTGAGCTGTGTTTCCTGATTTTCCTTCTAGGATCTTGCCAAGAAGTACTCTGACAAACTAGAATGTTGTGAAAATGAAGTAGAAAAGATAATAGAAGAAATACGTTGCAAAGCAATTGAACGTGGGACAGGAAATGAAAATTACAAGACAACTGGGGTTGCTACAATTGAGGTGTTTTTACCTTCAAGACTAAGAAAAGTGAGTAATTCCCTGAGTGTACACAGGGAGCAGTATTTTGTGTTATGATCAAATACATTATTGTTTTTGTAAAGCTGCAATCCAAAGTTAAATGCCTTAAGTTACCTTACATGTTGACATTTGATGTTGTGGACTCATTTTTGTTGTTGTTATAGGCTCTTTAACTGGCAGCCTCCCATGGCAAGCTTGCTTCTCTAGGATCTCTGAAACGTCACAGAGCTCTGTGTCATGTTCCATCTCTTTCTAGCTTAATGGTTAGAAATACTGGGAAGTCAAAGTGGACATCAGGTTTTCTAGAACCTTATGCACTAGGACATATTTGAAAGGAGTTTATCTGTTTCCTATTCTGGTGGAGGTCATAGGGCAGCCCAATGAGTGCTTAAGCTGGGCCAAAGGGACTTAGGTGGGGCCACCTCATCTCAGGGCCACATCCTCAGAGGTCTGAGTGTAAAAATGTCACTGTGGCAGGGCACTCAGAGATGCCGCTCAGGACCAACCCATGTTAATCCTTCTCAGAAGGAATAAAAAAGTGTATGTAAGAATCTATATGTCAGTAATTGTAGGAGCACTGTTCATAATAGCTAGCAGGTGGAAATAACCCAAGTGTCCATCAGTGAATGAATGGATAAATAAATGTGGCACACCCATACAATGAGAAACTATTTAGCAATAAGAAAGAATGAAAAACACATTTACAACATGGATGGGCTGAGGCTTTAGCTCAGTAGTAGTTCAGTCCCCAGTACTGCAAAAAAACAAAACAAAACAAAAAACTCAATCAACAACAAAAACAGAAATAAAAAACAACTTGAGTCACCTTCAGCAATTGCTGAGTGAAGCCAGGCATGGTGGTACATACCTGTAATCCTAGGAACTCAGGTGGCTGTGGCACAAAGATGGCAATTTCAAGGCTAGCCTGGGCCACTTAGTGCAACCCTATCTCAGATTTAAAAGTAAAAAACATGCTGGAGTTGTAGGTCCATGTACTGATTGGGGGGCAGGGGAACCTGACGTGCTGGGTGAAAAGGCCACATGATCTTGCTTATATGGAGAGTTCAGAAGAGTCAAATCTGTAGAGACAGAACATACATTAGTACAGGGGGTGGGGAGAAAAAGGGAAGAAATGGGAATGTAGGACACGGTGTTTATTTGAGGGGATGATGGTAGAAAAATGTTCTGAAATTTGGTTATAAGTATTGCTGGCCCTGTGACAAACCCATGAGCAGCCCTGTCTGGTGGTGGTGCATGGCTGCCCCCTTGAGGGCACTCGGGTCACTGGGTGAGTCTGTTGCTGGCTTGTGTTTACTAGGCCTTTCTTCCAGGCAGGCAGTGACCTATGTTATATCCGTGATACCAGCTTTTCCAGTTTCATAGGGTAACAGCTGTAACTGGTATTAAATTTAAGTACATTTTATTTTGTTTGTTTTGTTTTTAAATAGGATAGGAAAAACTTACTGGAGACCCGATTGCACATCACTGGCAGAGACCTGAGGTCTAAGTAAGTATCTGTGAGCTCCAGGTCCCAGGTGCTCTGCCCTTCTTTACACTCAATCACCAGATCCTCTGGGACCATCCTGTAAGAGAGGCTGGTTAGCTCTCATCCTTCTTTTATGTCAGAGAAGTTGCAACTTGTGATGGAGTGGCTTATCTGGACTCAGTGATAGGCAGTGGTGACCTGAGACTTGCACCCTCTTCTCTGCTCCTGGAGGAGCTTGGGGTGAGATGGAGACTATGCACCTCAAAGGAGGGCTTGGGTGTTTGAATGAAGGAATAGGGTAGAAATGGGGAGACGGCTTGGCATCACAGAGTATTGGTTTTGAATTCCATCCTTAGTGCACCAGTAGCTTTCTGTGATCCTCAGCAAAATGTTTTGGCTGATTTCAGACTATTGTTTCTTAGTTAAAAAAAGGACATCATTACCCTAAGTACATATATAAAGGTATGAATGGAGTGACTCTGCTTTGTGTACAATCAGAGACATGAAAAATTGTGCTCCATGTGTACTATGAATTGAAATGCATTCTGCTGTCATGTATAACAAATTAGAATAAATAAATAAATTTAAAAATAGACCTGCGTGTCACTAGTGAAAACCCTGGTTGAGTATTTCATCTCCCTATATATATAATTAATTTATTTGGGGGACTGGGAATGGAATCCAGGGCTTCACTCACGCTAGGCAAGTGCTCCAGCACTGAGCTACGTCCCCAGTCCTTACTTGTATCTTTTTAAATGGTGTTTTGAGGTCTCCAGGGCCATTCAATGTCTCATTTTCCTTTTTGGTCTACCTTAGGGCAATTAGGGATGGATTCAAAACACAACTTTCCTTCAGCACCCATGAATAGATCCTAGGGACCAGCCCCTGCTGGGGGTCCTCCTAGGGAGACCCTGGAAGGTCTGAGGTAGTTTTTAATCCTGGTGTGCAATGAAAGCCCTCCTGCCCAAATGGATAGACATCCCAGTGGTCCCACTGCATGAGGAAACACCCAGTAAAACAGTGGGAAAAGGACTGTCTCTTGGAGCTTCAGATTGCCACTAGAGAGCCAGCTTTATTAAAGTGAGGTGATGTCTGTGAGTCAGTGAATTGAGATCTTGGTGTTTCTGAATAAGAGTATAAAATGGTTATCATGATTAAAATCTTTTTAGTGTAAAATAAATTTGCTTTCCTACAGTTTTCACTGATTTTATTTTGCAGAATAGCTGAAACCTTTGGATTTCAAGAAAATTACATCAAGATTGTCATAAATAAGAAACAGCTTCAACTAGGTATGTTATAACAGAATGCAGAATTTTCCCATAAAGCTAATATGGAAATAATGACTTTCCATTTTTTTCTTGATTTTCCTGTATTTAAAAATATCTAGTTTTATTAAATAATCCCCAGTTACTTGAGTTTGAAGTTCACCATTTATATATAAATAAAAATGTAAAGCTGAAAATAGCTTCCCAGTAAATACTCACTGCCTGCTGTTTGCTAGAGGAGAAGAGAGATGCTCATCACGAGGTCAGCTACAGTCTGTGTGTGCTGAGAGGGAAGACTTGGGAGAGGCCCCGGCTGATGTGGCCTCATGTTGGGCCCAGATTGAGGGGCCCAGTGTGGAAGACGAGGGGTTGCAGGGCAGGCAGAGTCAGCGCTGAAGTCACAGCTGTGGTCCTCAGCCAGGCTCATTCTGCCATTAGGAGACATTTCTGCCTGTTGTAACTTGGTGGTGGGGAGAGTTGCTCCTCTGCTTAGTGGGTGAAGGAAGGACACTGGTAACATCAGACCACCTGGGGTGGCTGACACACCACAGGCTTCTTGAGCCCCAGATGCCCCGAGCGCAGCTGTTGATTCAGGGGACTAGATCTGCCTTACTCGGTCCTAGAGTGTTTCTCCTAAGGAAATGGGAAGGTGTCCATCTGGGGAGGGATCTCCTGTAGCGCCTCACAGATCACTGGCTCAGAGGGGAGGGCTAGGTGCAAGGGTGAGTGGAGATTGGGAGGCATCAGCTCTGCCATGGTACCTGCAGTCCTGTGGTTTGATCGGTTTCCAGTGGGTTCTGGGGCCTCACGAATCCAGTTGTCTCCAGCTTGATGCGCTGTGGCCCTTCACGGCCACTCTCACCTTCCCTTCCTGTGCCATCTCCAGCCGTTTGCCACTGTGTGTCTTACGCATCACAGATCCCATTTCTCTGTCATCTAATCTCTGTTCTGTTGTGATGTTGTTCATGGGACAGAAATCCTTGATTTTGATGTTATCAAATCTCTTGTTTTACATTTTGTGTTTTGTTGAAAAAGTGCTTTTCCCAGCTTCTGGACTACAGGGATATTCAGCATTTTCTTATATATCAGTTTAGTGTATGAGGACTTTCATCTGTCCAACTAAATATTTCCAGAATGTGTTCAAATCTATTTATAGCACAGTATTTGTTATTCTAAAATACGTTTGTATCTGTGTTTTCTCTTTTAAATTTTGTTTGCTTATGTGCATCTTTGGTATAATTTTTGTGAGGTTTATATTTTGACAACTTTTTCATAGATCTAGTTTTTGATTTTGTCATTTTTTTCCTTGGTTCAGTTTCATTGATTTTTTTGGCCATCCTTTCTATACTATATGTGAGGAAACTGAGTCCTGGAAGATAAGTAGTTCACTCAGGATCACAGTTAAAAAAAAAAAAAAAGGAAGGAGACCATGATCTTTGTTTTTAACTGACAGGAGATCACCTCTGATAGTGTACTACTGTGCTGAGGCTTCCTGTCCATCTCTCTGAGTTGTGTCTTATTTCTCAACTAGAAAATAGGAAAATTTGTGTATTAATTATACTTTCTTGTTTTTCTTTTATACTTCCTAGCTCTCCCTGTAATAGTTTCCCAAATATTTGTGGCTTCGGTTTGGTCTTAGAATAAAGGAAATTGAACTTGGGTCCGTTTCCACTGGATGATTTTAACACTGTTTCATAGTAACAGTTACACAACCAAGTTTCAGCTTTATTTTGCCAGTTATGTGGCCTTGTGGTTTGCAAGTGTTGATGCAAGTTTAAGAACTCCATTAACTTCAGAAATGGACTGTTTCCCCCTGAGCTTATGTGATGCTCAATCTGATGCTTACAGGGAAAAGCCTGGAAGAGCAAGGAGTGACTCACAATGTCAAGGCGATGGTGCTGGAGCTGAAGCAGTCTGAAGAGGATGTGCGGAAGAACTTCCAGGCAGAGGAAGAAGAACAGAATGAGGCAGAACTAAAAGAAAAACGAATTCAGAGGACAAAGAGAGGACTGGAGATACTGGCAGAGAGAGGTATCAGCAGAGCTCTGGACTGGCCACCTCACTTGGATACATGAAGGCAGCAGGGATTACACAGACCAGAGTGTGGTGGTGTGCACGTCCCTTGTGGAGGTTTCTTCCCTGCAGTCTTAAACTTTTGCAATGTTCTCTCTGCTTTTGACTGTAAATTTAATAGAGTTCTTTGGTTTTGTTGCAGCTGAGATGGTGGTGGATCCAGAAACCACACCGTACTTAGACATAGCAAACCAGACAGGCAGGTCCATCAAAATCCCTCCGTCACAGAGAAAAGTAAGTACTAGGAGACACTAGGGGCTTGTTCTTGGATTTGCTGTCATAACAGAGGTGGTTTTGTATTGTTACCATTTCTCAGCCAAGGCTCAGTAGCTTCTTACAGTGAAGAGCTCTGATGACTAGGGGTCTAGCTAATCTTAGTTTATCTGTCTTAAGAGACAGTTTGAAGTGGGTTTTGCTATTTAAATTATTGTGTTTAAAATTAACAAAGTTAAATTTTGGGGGTTTGGGGTGTTTTGTGATGGGCCTCTTTATGTCACTCAGGCTGGTCTTAAACTCTTGGGCTTAAGTGATCCCCTGACCCAGCCTCCTGAGTAGCTGGGACTATAGCCATGCATGTGCCTCAAGGCCTGATTTAATGTAAGTTTTAATGTCAGAACTTTGTGAATTGATGTTGCACTGTCAGTGGATTGAGTTTTTTTTTTTTTAAAGGTTGGCGTCTATTTACCTATAGTTGTTTTATAGTAAATGATGATATCTAGATCTTTTTGAAAAAATCTTTATAAGGCATAAATTATATAAAAATTGAAATATAAAAAAATCAATGAGTTTCAAAAAATTTGTATCACTTTTGGCAGCTTCCCTTCATAACTGTAACAAAATACCTTAGATAATTATAAAGAGGAAAGGTTCATTTTGGCTTATAGTTTTGGAGGCTCCAGTTCATGATCAGTTGGCCCTATGGCTTTGGGCCTGTGGCAAGGCAAGCACATCATGGTGGTAGTATGTGGAGGAGCAAAACTATGTTATCAGCTAGAAGGAGCCAGAATCGCACAGTCCCCTTTGAGAGTGCACCCTTAATTACCTAAGGACCCCCGCCCCACCCCTCCCATTGCACCATCCTGGGGACCAAGTTTTATTTAGCATGTGGGCCTTTGGGGGACACTTGTCCAAACCAAGGCAATTAAAACAAAATGTTTTGTAGTTGTAGATGAACAGAATACTTTAATTTAATTTAATTTATTTTTATGTGGTGCTGAGGATGGAACCCAGTGTCTAGCGTTGCTAGGCAAGTGCTCTGCTGCTGAACTACAGCCCCAGCCCTCTGTGGCAATTTTTAAAAAATGGTTCTGGAAATACTGGAGTTGAAATATATTTCAGAAAAGCCATGATGACTGAGAATGGAAAGTGATTGCCAGGCAATGTGTCCTGCCCTGTAATTCTAGGGTCTTGGGAGAGTGAGGCGGAATCGCTTGAGCCCAGGAGCTCGGGACCAGACCAGGCACAGATTGAGGCCTCCTCTGAAACAACAAACAACACAAAACAAAACCCACCACTTTTTAAAAAGAGGATGTAAGAATGAATGGGTGCTGTTTTGTATGCATATGTGCAGTCTCATAGAGTACTTGGAGTGGACCCAGGTCAGAGACACCAGGAGAAACTAGAAACAAAGGGACAGGTGCTGCTTGTGCTCGCGTCAGCCACGGTGAATTGGGGCTTCAGTGTTTAATTAAGCTTCAATTATATTTTTCTTAACTTTGGCTTTTAGATTGAGTTGTGATCTTGCTTTTTGTTTTCATCTTATTTGGTTTTCTTTAGAATTAATATACTTTCAATATAATTTGTTTTATTATATTTTAAAGTGATTTTTTTAAAAATCCATATTCTTTCCTAGGCCCTTATGTTAGCTATGGGATATCATGAGAAGGGCCGAGCTTTCCTGAAAAGAAAAGAATATGGAATAGCCTTGCCATGCCTTTTGGACGCTGACAAATATTTCTGGTAGGCACTTTTGTACTTGGTGAAATCCAATTTTAAGAAAGGTGGTCCAGATTATGCCCAGCACCTCCCTTCCCTGTGGCTTCAGACTGAGAGTGGTCGATGTAGAAGACTAGTTATGCAGTAGACAAGTTGTGAATGATTTCTTCCCATTGTATTTCTAATTCACCTTTCTTCCCTGGACAGGAAAGAATTATATAAGCATATGCACTTATTTTTTTTACAAGAAACATTTCCTTGCCTGACCTGTCTGTTCCAAAGTTCCCCATGAGCATGTCTCCTGATGGTTTTCATGTAGATGCTGATGGTTGTTCCCCAAATCCATTGTTTCATTAGGGGATGCAAAATATTGATACTCTGTTATTCCTTCTGCATTTATTGTTAGAATTGTCTGAAAAGAATTAATTTTCCTCTCTGAGCATGGTGATGTATACCTGTAGTCCCAGCAACTTGGGAGGCTGAGGCAGGAGGATCACAAATTCAGGGTTAGCCTCAGCCACTTATTTAAGACTCTGTCTCAAAATAAAAAAAGGTGGGGATGTAGCTCAGTGGTAGAGTGCCCCTGGGTTCAATCCCCAGTAGCACACAAACAAGAATTTTTTCCTCATCAGCTATTTGGTTTTGGACAAAAAAGAGATCAAAGCACTTGGCTTCTTTCTCCTCATTTTCAGAATCAACCAGTCCCCTAATGGTGACTAGTCAGTTTTTATGTTCTTTTTAAAAAAAGTATTAGTATTAACTAATGAGTTTTAACACAAAACATGATATTTTTCAAACTTTGGTGTACAAGTTTGCTGTCTTTGTTAGCAGATTGCTCCTCTGGCCCTGTTAATGTAATCTTGGTAGTCTCTGTAGACTCTCATCTCTGGAGCCCAAAGACACATTTCTGAGACAGTCTCCACACTGAGATCAGCAATTTACCAGAGTCT